TTCTTTTTGCTTATGTGGTGCTGAGGAATCGAACCCAGGGCCTCATGCATGCAAGGCAAGCACTCTACCACTGAGCCACCTTCCCAGCCCTGCTGGGGGTTTTTTGTATAGGTACTAAGGCTTGAACTCAGGGCCTGGTGCTCTTGCTTGGCTTTTTTCCTCAACATTGGCATTCTATACCTGAGCCACATTTCCACTTCCAGCTTTTTGGTGGTTAACTGGAGATAGTCTCATGGACTTTTCAGAAATTTCTCTGTGTTTCTTCAGCTTTATAACCGCTTCCCTGTTGCCCAGAACACAGCAGAACTCAAGCAAGTGAGCAAACCCATAGCACACCAGAGATACAAGTCCAGAAAATGCCTGATAGGTAGCTCACATCCATAATCCACACTTCCCAGGAGGCTGAGATCTGAGGATCAGGTTCAAAGCTAGCTTAGGCAGGAAAGACCATAAGACTCTTATCTCCAATTAACCAGCAAAAGTCAGTGGTAGATCTGTGGTTCAAGTAGTAAAGCTCCTGCTGAAAAAGCTAAGGGACAGCCTCCTGGGCCCTGAGTTCAAACCCAAATACTAGTACCAAAATAAATTGAGGGGCTGGGAAGGTGGCTCAGTGGTAGAGTGCTTGCCTTGCATGCATGAGGCCCTGGGTTCGATTCCTCAGCGCTACATAAGCAGAAAAAGCCAGAAGTGGTGCTGTGGCTCAAGTGGTAGAGTACTAGCCTTAAGCTGAAGAGCTGAGGGACAGTGCCCAGGCCCCGAGTTCAAGCACCATGACCAACAAAAAAAAAAAAATTAAACAGTAAAGTGGTCTCTGCTACCTTGGTCAAAGCATTTCCATCATGGTGAGAGGGACAGACAAACTGCAGGTGGCTGAAGATGAGACCAAACGTGAAAAGGTGACAGATGCAGCTGTAACTCTGGATGTGACAAAGTCATCAGAGAACAGCTTGGATTAAGGAAGGGGCTTTTTATTTTTATTTATTTTTATTAGGTCCAACCGTGGGGCCTGAACTCTGGGCCTGGGCGCTGTCCCTCAGCTCTTCAGCTCAAGGCTAGCGCTCTACCACTTGAGCCACAGCTCCACTTCAGGCTTTTTTCTTTTTACTTATGTGGTACAGAGGAATCGAACCCAGGGCCTCAGGCATGCAAGGCAAGCGCTCTACCACTGAGCCACCTTCCCAGCCCCAGGGAAGGGGCTTTTTTAAATCAGAGAATGAAAAGCAGTGGAGATGTCACTGGAGAGCAAAGGGTTAAAGATACCAAATGGAAAACTCCAGTCAGACTGATGACAGGAGACCTCTTGTAGGACCTAGTATGTGGAGACTAAGAGGGGATCAGCCTTGGATGGGAGGGGAAACACAGCTGACAGCTATAGCTATGGTGATGGGGAAGAGGAAGAGGAAGGGGAGGGAAGAGGGTACAATGGCCATTAGCACCACTTCTACCTGTGCTGAGACACAGTAGTTATAGAGTAAGTCTATACCGACTTTTTTTGCATTTGTGTCAGCCAGTCCTAAGGCTTAAACTCAGGATCTGAGCATGCTCCCTGAGCTATTTTGCTCAAGGCTAGCACTTTACCACTTGAATCACAGTTCTACTTCTGGCTTTTTTCATAATTTATTGGAATTTCAAGACCTTTCCTGCCCAGGCTCGCTTGGAACCACAATCCTCAGATCTCAGCATTTCAGGCATGAGCCACCAGCACCCACCTTATACCAATCTTTATAACCTGTTTAAAAAGAAAATCTCCCTAGGCTACTGAAATGCTGTAAGTTATATCCTCAGTCTTTCTCTACCCTAAAAACAAAAGCAGACACTTCCAAAAGGCACAAGAGCTGGGTGAAGAGAGGCCTGTGGTTCATTCACAGATTTCTGGGCCATACTGGTGTTCACGCTTCTGAAGACACAGGAAAGATCTGCAGGGGCCTAGAGAGGAAATACCACATTCTGCCACAGCTCCTGGGAGCCTGTACCTGCTCCATACAAGAAGAGTTTGATAGTCCCAGATCTGGGCACTTTCCCTCTGAGCTCTTCAGCTCTAGGCCAGTGCTCTACCACTTGAGCCACAGCGCCACTTGTGGTTTTTTCTGCTTATGTGGTGCTGAGGAATCGAACCCAGGGCCTCATCTATATGAGGCAAGCGCTCTACCACTGAGCCACCTTCTCAGCCCTGATAGTCCCATTTTATACTGCTTTGAGGTCATAGCAGAAAAAAAAAGAAAGAAAGAAACAATACTTACTTTGCTGTGACAGTGCCGCTTAAATTCTTAGAATTCAAAGAACAATATAATGGTGTCTGCAGAGTAACTTCAAATTTTGGTAACACTGGAAAAAAAAAACAACCTCTTAAAAAATGTATTATAGCCAGGTGCTGGTGGCTCACATCTGTACTCTTAGCTCCTCAGGAGGCTGAGATCTGAGAATCCCAGTTCAAAGCCAGCCAGGGCAGAAAAGTCCCCGTGAGACTCTTATTTCCAATTAAATACTCAAAAACCTGGAGTGGCGCTGTGGCTCAAAGTGATAGAGTACTAGGCTTGAGCAAAAAAACTCAAGGACAGCGCCCAAGCTCTGAGTTCAAGCCCCATGATCAACCAAGAAAAAAAATTTGAATTGTTCTAGAAGAACAATTCTATTTCTTTGGCCAGTGAAGTTACAGAAAACATTTCTGTAGACTGGCCAAGGAAATAGATCAAAGTCTTATTATAGGACCTCTCAACATTCAAATAGCCTAAGACAAATATCAGAAAGACCCACAGATTCCATGTACCAGTGGCTCACACCTATAATCCCAGCTACTTGAGAAGCTAAGAATGGGAGTATCCTGATTTGAGGCCAATCTAGACAGAAACATTAGTGAGACCTCTTCTCAACCCCTACCTGACTGCAGTGGTGTGCACCTGTCACCCAAAGTTATGTGGACAGCTGGATTGGGAGGATCACTGAGCAAGGCCAAACTGGGCAGAAAAGTCCCTGAGACAAGATCTCCATGGAATGGAAGCTGGACCCAGTAAGGCTCACCTGCGATTCCATCGCTGGGAAGACTATAAGAGGCAGATCCCAGCTCAGCCGTGCACCCAAGGAAAAGAGAGACCCTGTCCTAAAAGTAACTAGTGAAAAACAGGACTTCAGATGCAGCTCTACAAGAGCACACCAGCCCAGCAAGTGGAAAGCCTTGAGTTCAAATTTCCCATTACCACCAAAAAAAGAAAGAAAAAAGAAAAAGAAGCCCAAGGATACATAATATAGGATAGTCATTCAGCTTTGAATAAGGATCAAGAGCTAGTTGATGTGCCAAGACACCCCGGACTCTTGATGAGTCTAGAACAGGATGGCAATAAAAGCCACATGTGTCAGCACACACACACACACACACACACACACACACGAAAATCTAAGTATCTGCTCCCCAAACATTACAAGTTAGCAGCCAATCTCTTCCTAACTTGGTACCCACTCAGTACACATCCACCTAGTATCGCCACAATATGACATGGAAGTTGCCTATCAAAATGTTGTTCTTGCTGGGCACCAGTGGCTCATGCCTATAATCCTAGTTACTCAGGAGGCTGAGATCTGAGGATTGCAATTCAAAGCCAGCCCTGGCAGGAAAGTCCATGAGACTCTGATCTCCAATTAATCACATGAAAAGTGAAGTAGAACTGTGACTCAAAGTGTTAAGAGTGCTAGCCTTGAGCAAAAGAGCTCAGGAACAGCGTCTAGGCCCTGAGTTCAAGCCCCAGGACCAACGGGAAAAAAAAAATGTTGTTCCTTTACCATTTGTATAAACCAGCACTGATCAAAAGAAATAAAATATGAATCACATTTTTCAATGCTTTAGTATTTTTCGATATTTTAACAACTCCACTGTATATCAAAAATATTATCACTTCAACATGCAATCAAGATGAAAAATTGTTAATGAGCTACTTTCCCTTCTTCTTCTCATTTTTTTTTTGTTTTTTGCTTTTTGTTTTTTTGTTTTTAGGTCCGGTCGTGGGGCCTGAACTCTGGGCCTGGGCGCTGTCCCTCAGCTCTTCAGCTCAAGGCTAGTGCTCTACCACTTGAGCCACAGCACCACTTCCAGCTTTTTCTGCTTATGCAGTGCTGAGGAATTGAACCCAGGGCCCCATGCATGCAAGACAAGTGCACTCTACCACTGAGCCACTTTCCCAGCCCAACCAGAATACTCTTTTTTGGGGGGGGGGGGAGGGTCCGGTCGTGGGGCCTGAACTCTGGGCCTGGGCGCTGTCCCTCAGCTCTTCAGCTCAAGGCTAGCACTCTACCACTTGAGCCACAGCTCCACTTCCGGCTTTTTTCTTTTTGCTTATGTGGTGCTGAGGAATCGAACCCAGGGCCTCAGGCATGCAAGGCAAGCGCTCTACCACTGAGCCATCTTCCCAGACCTTTACTTGTTTTTTAAATACATTCTCCATCTATGCCCAGGCCATCTGGACCACAATCCTCCTATTTATGCTTTCTATGTAGCTGGGATGACAGGCAAGCCACCACACTTAGTTTTTCATTGGTTGAAGTAGATCCTTGGGAACTTTTGTGCAGGCTGGCCTCCAACTCCAATCCTCCTGAGCTCAGCCTCCTGAGTAGCTAGGGTTATAGGTTTGAGCATCCTCATCCAGCCTTGGCGCTACTGTTTTATCTGCATGTTTGTAATACAACATGTTAAGCACACCATCTTTAATGTCTTTATCACGTTAGCCAAATAAACACATGGAAAACTACATTACCTTATTTTTTTGCTGTTTTGTTTTTATGTAGTGCTAGAATCAAAACCCAAGGCTTTGCACATATCTCCAGGCCTAAAGGTATGTATTTTTTTAATTGTGAAAATACCATACAGAGGGGTTACAATTACATGGGCAAGGTAATGAGTACATTTCTTATCAAGCATTGTTGCCTCCTCCTTTGTTTCCCCTTCCCATCCCTTCCCATCTCCTCCACCCATCCCCTCATCCCCTGCCCGCCCCCAAGGTATGTATTTTAAAAGTCTTTTTTTTTTTTTGTCAGTCGTGGGGCCTGTACTCTGGGCCTGGGCGCTGTCCCTCAGCTCTTCAGCTCAAGGCAAGTGCTCTACCACTTGAGCCACAGCGCCACTTCCAGCTTTTTCTGCTTATGTGCTGCCGAGGAATCGAACCCAGCGCCTCATGCATGCAAGGCAAGCATTCTACCACTGAGCCACCTTCCCAGTCCCATTTTTAAAATATTTTTAATATTTTATTATCACAACAAAGAGAAAAAACTGTGCAGAAGAAAACATCTGGCATCATGGAACTTAAGGAATACTTTCCTAATGGTTGGAGGTGTGGCACAGGTGGTAGGGAGCCTCTCAATTACCATAAGTGTCAGGTACCCATTCCAGTCCTGGGCTCAGACAAACTAAAAGGAATATTTTTCCTATTTTTGTCTTAATAATGAAATTTTAGAACTTTCCCAAAAGAAAAAAATGTGTTTAAGGATATCAGTGACACCAGAATTTCATCTCTGGGATTGTGTGTGTGTGTGTGTGTGTGTGTGTGTGTGTGTGTGTGTTAGTCATGGGGCTTAAACTGTGGATACTATCCCTGAGTTCTTCAGCTCAACGCTAATGCTCTACCACTTCAGTTTTCTGGTGATTAATTGGAGCTGTCTCCAGATTTTCCTGGCCAAGGTGGCTTTGAACCAGGATCCTCAAGTCTCAGCCTCTTGAGTAGCTAAGATTACAGACAAGAACCACCAGTGTCCAAGAGATTCTTGCATTAAATGTTACAACTCTTGTCTCTGTAGAGAGTAATCCTAGTTAATTTCTTTCTACAGCTGACACTAAGCAAAAGGAAAGAAATCTACCTATCATCTGCTTTGGAAGAAATAGTTGTAGTGTCAAAGTTTGTAGAGTTCATAAGTTTTATAGATCATGATAATGACAATTCACCTTGTGAAGTTTAAAATGTGCTTGTGACTTTAGCTAAGTATCACTATCCCACAATACTGTGAAATTTATGTAATCACTTAATAAATTTTTTTAAAAATGAATTGAAGAACTCTTACCATATTCTGAGACCTGAAATGATTGATAATATGTCTGGTCCTGTGGGGAAGAAGGAGAAAACAAAGGACAAGAAAATGTATGAGTTCTTAGTTATTTTGCCTTCTCGCCTGCATAAAAAGGTTTCAAAAATTAGAATAAATGTTCAAAATCAACCCAAGCAGACAAATCCTGGAGACTCCTATCTCTAATTAACCAGCAAAAAGCCAGAGGTAGAGGTATGGATCAAGTGGTAGAATGCCAGCAGTGAGCAAGAATATAAATGAAACACAGAGTTCAAGCCTCAGTACCAGCACCACAAATTAATTAATTAATTAATTAATTAATTAATTAATTAATTAATTAATCACAGCAGGACATTGGTGATACTGGATATGAACTCAGGGCCTCGATCTTACTAAACAGGAACTCCACCGCTTGAGCCGGACTCCCCGCCCTTTTGGCTTTAGCTATTGTCCAGATTGGGTCTCATCTTTTTGACCCAGGGCTGGTCAGACCTCCTACCCACAGCCTCCCACATAGCTGGGAGAGCAAGCATATACCATCATACTTAGCTTATTAGTTAAATTTTTGCTCAAGTTGATGTCAAACCAGGATCCTCCTGTCTTAACCATCCATTCTAAATCATACATAACAAACACACACAAAACAGCTAAGTAATTGCACCAGTGAAATTCGTATGCTACATCTGATCTTCTAAATTTATCAAACACGGACGCAACAACAAAACTTTTTTTTCTTAAAAGCCACCTTTCATCTAAAACATCTGTATCATTCATCACAAGTTCCATACCAGCCTAGGCTACCTGGTAAAGTCTAGACGAGCCTGAATTACCCAGACAGATCCTATCTCAAAAATAAATAAATAATATGTTTTTTCATAGACTCCAGAATTATTATATTATCAGAGAACTAGGAATTGCGAAGTAATAAGATGGCACAAGTTGTGAGTACACTTTAAATTTATTTTTTATTTTAATTTTATTGTCAAGGTGGTGTACAGAGGAGTTACAGTTAAATAAGGTCGTGAGTACATTTTTTTGGTTTTTTGGTTGTTGTTTTTTTGTCAGTCGTGGGGCTTGAACTCTGGGCTTGGGTGCTGTCCTTGAGCTCTTCAGCTCAAGGCAAGCGCTCTACCACTTGAGCCACAGCACCACTTCCGGTTTTCTAGTGGTTAATTGGAGATGAGAGTCGCACTTACTTTTCTGCCCAGGCTGGCTTTGAACTGTGATCCTCAGATTTCAGCCTCCTGAATAGCTAGGATTATAGGCGTGAGTCACCGACGCCCAGCATGAGTACATTTCTTATCTAACTTGTTACCCCCTTCCTCTTTTTTCTCTCTCTTTCCCTCCCTCCCCATCCTCCCCTACATTTTAAATTTAATGAAGAGCTGGGTACCAGTGACTCAATCTAAGCTACTCAATAATCTTATTTATTCAAGAGGCTGAGTTCCAGAGGATTGTGGTTCTAAGCCAGGCCACGCAGAAAAGTCCACAAGATAGATAAGATGATAGATAGATAGATAGATAGATAGATAGATAGATAGATAGATAGATAGATAGATAGATAGATAGATAGATAGATAGATAGATAGATAGATGATAGATAGATAGATGTCAAAACAGAAATATACACACAGGTCAAGAACCAGTGACTCGTTTCTGTAATCCTAACTACTCAGGAGGCTGAAATCTGATAATCATGGTACAAAGCCAGCTTGGTCAGGAAAGGCTATGAGACTCCAATTAACTACACAAAAAAATCTAGAAATGGGCTGGGAATGTGGCTTAGTGGTAGAAAGCTTGCCTAGTATGCATGAAGTCCTGGGTTTGATTCCTCAGTACCACATACACAGAAAAGGCCAGAAGCGGTGCTGTGGCTCAACTAGTAGAGTGCTAGCCTTGAGCAAAAAACAGCTCAGGGACAATGCCCAGGCCCTGAGTTCAAGCCCCAGGACTGGCAAAATAAATCCAGAAATGGAGCTGTGGTTCAAATCGTAGAGCATTAGCCTTAAGCAAAAAAAAAGCTCAGTGACGGGGCTGGGAAGGTGGTACAGTGGTATAGTGCTTGCCTTCCATGCATGAGGCCCTGGGTTCAATTTCTCAGCACCACATAAGCAGAAAAAGCCAGAAGTGGCATTGTGGATCAAGTGTTAGGGCGCTAGCCTTAAGCTGAAGAGCTGAGGGACAATGCCCAGGCCCAGAGTTCAGGCCCCACGACTGACTAAAATGACTAAATAAAATATAACAAAATAAAAGCTCGGAGACAGAGTCCAGGACCTGAGTTCAAGCCCCAAGACCAGTACAAAAGAAGATTTAAAAAAAAAACAGGACAGTATATGTTGTAATATCCTACAGCATGAGGATCAAGAGCATCACAAATGAAGCACTCAATAGTCAGAGTCTAGGAGAAATTGTTCATTCATCTAAATTCTCATCAGAAATGACTTCCTATATCAGGCCAGCTCACCTTGAACAAATAAAATAGAATTTCTGTATTCAAGAAGCTTGGTTTAAGAAGTGAAGCAGACATGCTTTTTTCTATTTTTATTTTTTGTGTGCCAGTACTGAGGCTTGAACTCAGAACCTCTCACTCTTGCTTAGCTTTTTTGCTCAAGGTTGGTGCTCTACCACTTCCGCCATATCTCCACTTCTGGCTTTTTGATAGTTGGAGATGAGAGTCTCATGGACTTTGCTTGCCCAGGCTGGCTCTGAACTATGAGCTTCCAGATCTCAGCTTTTCAGTAGCTAGGAGACAAGTGTGAGCCACCAGAACTCAGAAAACTATTCTTCCTAGAGGCTGAAGGCTGCAAACGTATTTTGGAAGTCATTCCATATCCCAGAGGAGATGCGCTCTTTTCTGACCTATTCCAGCTTGCTTTATGCTTTCTGTGAAGTTGTCATCCTGCCCGATGCTACTCATGGAGTACAGCAGAGACCAGGGTGGTCCAAACAAAAATGGGCTCAAGAAAGGCCTCCAAAAAAAAAAAAAAAAAAAGCTGAGGAAAGAAGTAACAGCTGGGCAGGCAGGCAGGGAAAGATAGAGCAGCATTTGCAAAAGCTATGCAAAGCAACAGTGCCCTAGTCTCTCCAAAACTACTTCAAGAGAAAGGAGGCCATTAGCCTCCTAAGCAAATGAATGCTTGTTGTTTCTGAGACACATAATAATCTGATAGCTACAATTTATTATACTAAGAGTCCTCCCAGAAAATGATTTCAGCCTGGTAAGTTTTCCAGATACTATTTCTTGTCCTCCATACTGGCTGAAGATTAAGACAAAGGCTAAAGGGAAGTAGAAGTATGGCTCAAGTGGTAGAGAACCAGCCTCCAGCAAAAAATGGCCAGCAAGAATGTCAAGTCCTGGGCTGGGAAGGTGGCTCAGTGGTAGAGTGCTTGCCTTGCATGCCTGAGGCCCTGGGTTCGATTCCTCAGCACCACATAAGCAAAGAGAAAAATGCCGGAAGTGGCGCTGTGGCTCAAGTGGTAGAGCGCTAGCCTTGAGTTGAGCTGAGGGACAGTGCCCAGGCCCACAGTTCAGGCCCCACGACCGGACCCAAAAAAAAAAAAAAAAGAATGTCAAGTCCTGAGTTCAAGTCCCAGGACTGGCAAAGAAAAAGAAAAGACTGAAGTGTCTCAGCCCTTTATTAGCTAGCAGCTGGTAGCTCACACCTTTAATCCTAGCTACTTAGGAGGCTGAGATCTAAAGGTTGCGGTTTGAAGCCAGCCCAGGCAGAAAATCTACGGGAGACTCTTAACTCTAACTAACCACCAAAAGGATGGAACTAGCTTTGCCTCAAGTAGCAAGCATTCTACCCTGAACAACAACAAAAAGCTAAGAGACAGCACCCAGGCCCTGAGTTCAAGCCCAAGAACCAGCACACACACACACACACACACACACACACACACACACACACACACACACTACCGAGGGACAGTAGTCACTGACACCTAGAAAACACTGTAAGATTGTTGAGATCCGTGTTTCCAAGCTGAACGTTACACAAATATCAATTGTCCAGAAGATTCTGTTTGGCTAAGTCCAAGATGTCACAGAGGTCCAATAACGGATAATGGCATCATTAAAAAATTCAAGAAATAAAACAGCCTGTTCCCCCTTACCCAACAGCGCCCCTCTGTGGAAGAGATAAATACCACAAGTGCCTAGCTCTGGGCCTGTATTATATTCTTCAAAGCATGATTCAAAAACAATAAAGAGCTGGGCACCTGTGGCTCATGCCTATAATCCTAGCTACTCAGGAGGCTGAGATCTGAGGATTATGGTTCAAAGCCAGCCCAGGCAGAAAAGTCTGTGAAACTCTTATCTCCAGTAAACCACCAGAAAACCGGAAGTAGCATTGTGGCGCAAGTGGTAGAGCTCTTGCCTTGAGCTGAAGAGTTGAGGCCCAGGCCCAGAGTTCAAGCCCCAGACCAACCAAAAACTAAAAATAAAAATAAAGAGAATTTCCCAGGCAGTTTGTCTCAGCCTGGCTAGGAAAAGAAGTCTGGTATGTAATCCAGACGAAGCAGGAGCCTCAGTCTACCTGGCTGAGATCTGAAGCCCAGAATTCTGCTCAGCATAGCTAAAGAACAGAATTGGAAGCAAAGAGCCCTGGCGTAAGGCAGGTGACAAGCATTATCATCCCAGCTGTGCATGATACGCCAGATGTAAACCAGATGCTCACAGAAGGAGAGGAAATCTATTTTCAAGGTTCCACTGTTTGGCATCCCAACTGTAAACAGTCTACCAAGACAGAGGAAAAGCTGCAGCCAACTAGGACCTCCTCTGAGAGTCTTTATTCTAGAGCAGGTTCCAGCATTCCTGGCTCACTGGTGCACACTATCCATGCAAAAGTAGACAATGAAATCCTGGATTACAAGGATTTAGCAGCCATTCCCCAGGTCAAGGTGATTTACAATATTGAATGTCTAGATCTTATTTACCTATGTGCCTTTCTACACCACGGGCTATGATGACAAGCAGGAAAGACAGAGCCTTGGAGAGTCTTGGAGGACTTGGTCTCCTACTCCATACTGATTGGG